ACGTTTAGTTGACTCATTCCTGAATGAGCTAAATGTTTAGCTAACTCGGTCCTGAACTAACTGAAAGTTTAACTGACTCAGTCCTGAACGAGCCAGACGTTTAGCTGAATCATCATCTCACAGTATTAACCTTGTCCTCTCTGCTGGACGTTTCAGAGACAGAGACTGATCAACACCACAGAGACCCGGGTCATCACCAATGGGAACTCAGACTCTGCGATCCGGGTCCAGGGGAGGCGGGGCTTGGAGAATGGATTGGGCGGGGCTGAACAGGTGCTGAAGGGGCGGCGAGGGCTGCAGAGGCTGGAGTCAGAAAACGAGACGGTAAACGAGGACAACGAGGAAGGAGGACAAGGAGACGAGAGGGACGGACCTCTGCTGCCTTTCAAAGTCCCAGGTACGACTCCGAGGTCACACAGCAGCGTAAAAAACATTTATAGTGATGAGGCTTAAAAAATCCTTTCATCTTGGATGAAGGGAGTGAAAGTACAGATACATTATAATTTGATTCTGTCTGTAGGAGAGAAGCTGCACAAAATAAAGTCCACTAAGTTATCAAATTAACCTCTGCAGGGTGTTTCAGAACAAATCTCTTTTTTCTGCTGAGCTTAAATTTGTTTCATCCCTTAAAGTCTTGATCTTCATATGGTCTGGGTTTTTTTTTTTTTTTTTACCTCAAACTTTAATAAAAGACACAAGAATTCATACAAAACATAGTTCTGATAAATTAAACATTGAGGAAGTAAAAATATTCTTGTACAAACCCATTTTAGAAACGTTCTTCATAAGATGCTGGGAAAGCTTGAAGATTCTTTTTGTGACTTTAGATGTTGATGTAAAAAAAACCTGAATGAAATCCTGTGATTTGTTGGGTTTGTCCCGCTCTCCTCTCCAGGGGGCGTCTGTAACAAACTGAAGTGGCTGATCATGTGGCCTCTGGCCCTGCTCCTCTTCCTCACCGTCCCGAACTGTGCCGAGCGGCGGTGGGAGCGATGGTTCATGGTCACCTTCTTCACGGCCACCATGTGGATCGCCGGTCTGTCCTACATCATGGTCTGGATGGTGGGTCACATGATAAAACTTTGAGCTTTTAGAAGGTCGAGGTTTGGTTTCATGATGGAACGAATCTCCATGAGGCAAAATGTTGTCATCTAGGGGGAGCTCGGAGTAGAGTCACTGCTTCTCTTCAAAGAAATGGTCAGCAGAGGTGGATCATCTGATTAGGACGCCTCCATTTGGAGTTTGTCTGAGAATACCCCACTGATAGGAAGCCCTGGGACAGACACAGAACTCCCTGGAGGGATTATACTCTCTGGTCTGGGATCCTTTTGGAGTCCTCCAGGGGGAGCTGGAGACTGTCTCTGTGTAAAGGGAGGTCTGGGTTTTTGTCCTGGATCTATTGCCTCCACAACCCAACTACGGATAAGTGGTAGAAGATGGAAATAATTGATATTATTTAATTTTCACCATAAAAAGTGGAAGATCATGAGGAGGAAAATGTGTCAGGAGACAAAGGGAGAAGAGGAAAGTCAAGAAAGTAGGACTGAGGGTTGCAACTCTAAATGTGGGGACAATGATAGGCAAAGGTAGAGACCTGGCTGACATGATGCTGGGAAGGAAGGTAGATGCTTTATATGTCCAAGAGACCAAGTGGAAGGGCAGCAAGGCTCGCAGCATTGAAGCAGAGTTTAAACTGTTCTACCATGGTGTGGATAGAAAGAGAAAGGGAGTAGGGGTGGTCCTGAAGGAGGAGTTGGCAAAGAATGTAGTAGAGGTGAAAAGAGTGTCAGATAGGGTGATGTGTCTGAAGGTAGAAGTAGAAGGTCTGATGCTAAATGTTGTCAGTGGTTATGCTCCACAGGTTGGATGTGATGTGGAGGAGAAAGATAAATTTTGGAACGATCTGGATGAAGTGATAGAGAATATTCCCAGGGAGGAGAGAGTGATGGGTAGGTTTGGTGTCAAATAAAGAAACCAAGAAGGACAGATGGTGGTGGATTATGCCAAGAGAATGGACATGGCTGTAGTCAACACTTGTCAAATGTTGACCACAATGTCAAAAAGAGGAAGTTGGTCCAGAGTCCGGGGGTCCAGTAAAGACCTGATCCCCTCTGGTCTTTAATTTAGACCTCGACTGCACTGAGAGACCATGTCTGGAGGATCTCAGGGCTCTGTGGAGAGTAAAGTCAAGACGTTTAATCAAAGTCATTGGCTGCCATTGATATAAGAATTAATCATGAATCATACAAAACAAATATAAATGAAATAAGTAAAACAAGTTGTGTACAGGAGTGAGCGTTTAGGAGATTGTTACTCATTTATTTGACCGTTTCTCTGTTCAGTCGTTGGTATTTCTGTCCTCTTCTAGCCAGAGTGTCTCTCTGCTGCAGGACTGGTGGTTTTCTAAAATTTAGAATGTTCTCCTCAGTACAGGAAGTGAAGGCTCTCTTCATTTTCTCCATCAGTCAGGACCCATGGCTCCATCAGAACCTTCTGCTGCTCACAGGTCAAGAGTTCTTTCATTATGACTTGACTGTTTGTTTGAGGCTTACTTTTTACTCTTCATTTCTACCTGCCTGCATTTTGTGAGCTTAGATTATTACAGTAAGAAGTCCCAAACGTTCTGCGTGGATCAGGATGTTCAACAGGAACCTGCTTTTATCATTTTCTCCACTGATGACGCGTTAAACTTGAGTAAATTTGTACCTTTGCTGCCATCCAGCAGTCGGTCTTTGGGTCGGTGCAGGAAAATAATTTAATTAGGCTGGATTATAAATACAGTGAAAGAGCAGCAGGTTGTACAGAAACAGCAGCAACAATATAATAAATTACAAATCTGAGAGTAAAAATTAGCAGAGTGCATTGGAATCAATCCGATACCAAGTGAACAAGGGCCAGTATGGCCGATATCGATATATGTGCCGATACCGATACCTTTCGATAATTGAAGTGGATGCACCATTTTGCTAAATCTGAATGAAATTATGTGATTTTTTTTTTTTTTCACCATCAGATTATTAATTTAATAAAATCCAGCAAAGACTCTGGATAACGTTTATGGGTTAATATTAATATTTTCTGTTGTATCATTTCACAACAACACGGCGCCTCCTTCTCCTTTCTGCCAGTTCTCGTCGGGCCTGAATAATCCGGACCTCGAGTCACAGGATGGTACAGCATCAAAGCACAAGAGCATCAAAGCACGAGGGAGGAGGAGCAGGGTGTGGCTGCAATTTACAAATTTAAAAAAATTGTTTCTAACTCATCAACTAGTTGAAGTCATAATTATTGAAGCAGCTAAATGTCTCAAAATCATTAAATATTGACTTCGGGTGTTTAGATCATTAGTTAGACCCAATATATTCTCCTTCTACAACATCGAGCTGTTTTACATGATTGTTGTCTAAATTAACATTAATTATGAATTATATTAAGTTATTGTACATATATTATTAGTAATTTGTGACACAGATCCATTTGGGCTTGCTGTTAATGAAACGGTTGTTTTGTCGACTGGGAGCAGTTGTTGTTGTTTTGGAGAACATCTTCGCTTCTCCACGACGGCACCGGTGGAAACGACAGGCGGGACCGGCAGAGCGCCCTCTAAGGTTTATAGAAATCGATGGGATGAACACAGACCGTCATGGAAAGCCAACAAAACCACAGCAGCCCATGCTGAAAAGCTGAAACAAAGGTGTCGATAATATTACACTGATATCATCTATATCAATACTCATGACAACATTGATAATATCGATATTTGGACCGATCCGCCCACCACCACTAAAACTTTGTTACTATTTTGTAAAATGTAACTAATTTGCATTGTTTCTAACTTTACATTTTGTGTTCTGCATTCACACTTCACTTGGTTCACCTACAAACAATTGTCTGAGCACCAGGAAGCACGGGTTTATTAATTTTAGTATTTCCTGAGGATAAAACCTGTAAAAGTCCTGGTTCTGAGGTGAAGTCTGTGGTTCCAGGTGACGGTGATCGGGTTCACTCTTGGCATCCCTGACGTCATCATGGGCATCACCTTCCTGGCGGCGGGCACCAGCGTCCCAGACTGCATGGCCAGCGTTATCGTGGCACGGCAGGGTACACGCACACACACACAGGTTGTTGGTTGTGGACTTGATTCTGGTCTTGGTGGACCTGCAGAGACGTGTTCCTCTCCTCGCCTCAGGTTTGGGAGACATGGCTATCTCCAACTCCATCGGCAGCAACGTGTTTGACATCCTGGTGGGTCTGGGCCTGCCGTGGGCCCTGCAGACCCTCTGCATCGACTACGGCTCCACTGTGAGTGCTGCTCGGTCAGATTCCTCTGAAGAGAACCTGAATGAGGACACACCGTCCTTTTAGAGCGATTTATTTTCAGTGAACCGAGTCTGTCTTGGTCTCCTCAGATCCATCTGAACAGCAGAGGACTCATCATTTCTGTTGGACTTCTCCTCGCCTCAGTTTTCTTCACAGTAAGTTTGCATCCTTGCGTTTTTGGACTGGAGCATCTTTATGAATTTTCAAAGTGCATGCTCAATAATCCAGGTATAAAATCCAACAAAGTTCAGTAAGGTCATCTGAACGGTTTCTTTTTTTTGTTGAGACATTTCATCCTTCATCCAAAGGACTTCATCAGTCTGAGGAGCCACAGCAAACTTGGTCCCGTGGCTCCTCAGACTGATGAAGTCCTTTGGATGAAGGATGAAACATCTCAACAATAAAAAAAGAAACCGTCCAGATGATCTGACTGAACTTTGTTGGATCTTTACGAGTCCTTCAGCCGACATGAATGTTTGAACACGTTTAGGTCCGTTTTTTTTTTTTTTTTGTAAAATTATAGCTCCAAGATGAAGACCAAGAACTCAAAACTAGGTCACACGATGAAAGGACAAGTTAATCTTCTTCCTTTAGAATTTTGTCAATCTTTGTGTTTTATTTATTTGTACATAAAGTTTAAATTCCTTAAGAGCTACTCTGAAGGAACTTTGTCCCAGATCAAGTTCTTCTTCCTGCTTGATTTCCTGATTATTTATCCAGGAAACATTTCTGCTGCAAACAAAACATAAAACTGTCTCAAAGATTCTCTGTAAGTCTCAGAGAAGCATTTTCCTCCTCAGCCCCCGTCACATGTGGAGTTCCCCAAGGAGCTTTTCTTGGACCCATTTTATTTCCCATCTACATTCTCCCTTTAGGCTTCATTTTTAGAAAACTCAACATCTCATTTCTTTGTTACGCAGACGACACTTGAATCTCAGTCGTTTTCACTGAAACCCCTGTTTGACTGCCTCACTGAGGTAAAAACTTTGAGCTTTTGAAATTGCAGTAAGAATAAAACTAAAGTTATAATTTTTGGACCGAGTGGAAACGGCAACCTTCTCTTATAGATCTGGATATTTCTGAGCCATTTGTAAAATTTGTTTATTTATTTATTTGATGCAAAGACACTTAAACCATTCCGTAATCTGTCTGCTGTTGACATGGGGGAGCACCTAAATAAAGTCAAACTAATGGTGGTTTGTTTGTGGGACTGCGTCTCTCCTGTCCGCAGGTCCTCGGGGTCCATCTGAACAAGTGGACTCTGGACCGCAGGCTGGGCCTGGCCTGCCTCTTCATGTACGCCGTCTTTCTCTGCTTTTCCATCCTCATTGAGTTCAACGTCTTCATGTTTGTCAACCTCCCCATGTGTCGGGACATCCACTGACCTCCTCCTCCTCCTCTTCGTCCTCCGTCCCACAGAGGAGCCGTCACCCGGCTTCCAGTTTGTGGCGCTTTGGAAAGAAGTCCCACCTTTTCTTCGTTTAGGAAGCTCGGCTCGGTTTGATGGAGCTTTGGTGCAATAAACACGAGCAGAGGAAACAGCGGCAGTTGGTGCCGGTCGTGTCACAAACCGAACGTTTGGACGGACAGAACCGGACTGTTCTGGTGAAGGAGCTGCTACTGAAACTGGAAGAGGAGAGAGAAAGTCAGACTTCAGCTGCCATGTTTGTTACTCTTTGTAAGGTCTGGATATAAGCACATATTTAAGGTATTTTAGGTCAAATCTAAGGTTCTGTCTATATTTGAGGATTATAGGAACTCATGTTAGCTGATAATTTTTATTTATCAGTGTTTTAAGGCTGAATGATTTGGAGTTTCTTTGTGTCTCGGTTGACACTAACACTGCATGCGGACACACACAGTGTAGATATTTAACACAAGTGATGAACAGTTTGTCTGTTTGGTTCTGTATCTGTGCAGGTGTGGGCTTTACTGTTCTTTAACAGAACCACAGGTCAGAGGGATTAGCCCTTAGCACCGTCACTTTATGGATTAGAGATTATTTTTTTAATTAATTAATCTGCTGCAGAAACTCAACAAGTAACTACTGAATGTTCTGACCTGGGTCCGCAGAGTTACAGTCCAGAACAAAGTCCATCTGCTGTCAGTTTCAGTTTTAATCAAACGGATCGGGTCTTTATCGAGTTCTCAAAGGATCCAAATCTAACATGAAGTGCACAAAAACAACAGATTACACCGAGTCATTTACTCAACAGAACCTGGTTCCAGTTCTGATCCAGAACCACTTAAAGTAGCAGAACCCAGGTCAGTTGTTCTCAGAGGGTTTGATCTGAACCGTTTGAAAACCCGGTAAAGTCCAGCTCCGTCTAATTTGGATCTAGAACTGAAAGGTGGACTTCCTTGCTCCTTTCTGTAACCTTCAGTCTGAGCAGAGATTTTAATGTTTGTATGTTTTAAAACCAAGAGTATTTTTAGATTAGGAGTCGTAGATTTTTATTGAAGCGTGCGCGGAGCGTTGAAGCCGTCGTCAACGAGGAAGCCGTGATCCTGATTTATTTGCCAATGTCAATTTATTTATGCAGCACATAAAAAAGTTGACCAAAGTGCTTTACGGTTTAGTCAGATTAAAATGAAAACGAGAAAATACAATCAAACAAGAAAAATCAGCTCTTCACTGGTTCTCAAACGCTGCCCGGAGCAAACGCCAAGGAAAAAAGACGAGTCTTGAGCCAAGATTTAAAGTCTCAGATCAGGTGATCTGTTCCACAGTTCAGGAGCAACAAAACCTGATCACTTCTGGACTTTGGATCCAGGCACATCTGCGAGGAACGGGTTGTTGGACCAGAGTGCTCTGACTGGAATGTTAAGAGATTAATATGACGGGGCTGCATGAAGACAATAGTGTCAGGAGCAGTGCATTCAGTTTTATTTCATTTAGATTCAGGAAGTTTAGTTTCAGCCCGTCTTTACTGCTGGTGAAGACTCTGTCATCCAGATGATGATCAATCCAAAGGCAACGGTTAAAAAACAAACAACTGGACTTCTAATCTGAAGCTGAAGATGTTTCGCTTCCATCCGGGAGACTTTCAGTTCAAAAAACCAGTGGAGTGATCATCTCCAACTTGATGGGCAGATACACCTGAATATCATCTGCACACAGTGGTGCTTGAATGTTGGTGAAGCCTTTAGGATTGTCTATATTTCTGCATAAAAATGACCTCAAACATCAGATTTTGTCACAAGTCCTAAAAGTAGATAAAGAGAACCCAGTTAAACGAGACAAAAATGTTATACTTGGTCATTTATTACTTGTGAATTTATTATACTTGGTCAGAATTCATTGTTCCATCAATGATGGCAGGCCATCCTGGCCTAAATGTAGCAAAACAGAGCCAAACCATGATACTACCACCACCATGTTCCACAGACGGGATAAGGTTTTTATGCAGGAATGCAGTTTTCATTTCTCCAAACATAACACTTTTCATTTAAACCAAAAAGTTCTATTTTGGTCTCATTCGTCCACAAAACGTTCTTCCAATAGTCTTCTGGCTTGTCCACATGATCTTTAACAAACTGCAGACGAGCAGCAATGTTCTTTTTGGAGACCAGTGGCTTCTCCTTGCAACCCAGCTATGCACACCATTGTTGCTCAGTGTTTTGGTGGACTCGTGAACATTAGTCAATGTGAGAGAGGCCTTCAGCTGCTTAGAAGTTACCCTGAGGTCATTTATGACCTCGCCCACTGTTCCACGTCTTGCTCTTGGAGTGATCTTTGTTGGTCGACCACTCCTGGAGAAACAATGGTCTTGAATTTCCTCCATTTGTACACAGTCTGTCTGACTGTGGATTGTTGGAGTCCAAACTCTTTAGAGATGGTTTTGAAACCTTTTCCAGCCTGATGAGCATCAACAACTCTTTTTCTCAGGTCCTCAGAAATCTCCTTTGTTTGTGCCCAAACATGTTGAGAAGAGCAGACTTTGATTGATCCTGTTCTTTAACTCACACCTGATCATCATCCCACTGATTGAAAACACCTGACTCTAATTTCTTCTTCAAATTAACTGCTCATCATAGAGGTTCACATACTTTTACCACTCACAGATATATAATGTTGGATCATGTTCCTCAATAAATTAATGACCAAATATATTTTTGTCTCATTTGTTTAACTGGGTTCTCTTTGTCCACTTTTAGGACTTGTATGAAAATCTGATGTTGTTTTAGGTCATATTTATTCAGAACTATAAAAAATTCTAAAGACTTCACAAGTTTTAAGCACCACTGTATATATTTTCTGAAAATAGACCCCAACGGCAACATGTAAAGGTTAAAAAGCATTGGGCCTAAAATAGACCCTTGAGGGACCCCGTAAATCAAAGGAAATGAAGAACATTCCCCTAGATGAAGAGAAAACTCCCGTCAGGCAGGTAGGATCTAAACCAGGATCAAACTGTGCCTTTGATACCGTTCCCTGGTCAAGTCGTGACGAGATGTTCTGGTGGTCCACAGTATCAAAGGCAGCAGAACGGTCTAAAGCAGCAGAACTTCCTGGATCAATTTATTTATGAACTTGTTTCTATTAACAGAACTTGATCATTTGTAGGTTCTATAAACTTTATTTCAAACACAACTGAACTTTTAACTTCGTGGTGAAATGTGAGGACAGCAGGAGGGTGTGGCACGCCGTCCTCTGATGGAGCCGTCCTGTCTCGAGGACGTCCTGAGACATTTCAACTCAAACATCTTTCAGCATGTGTTTAATTAAAACTTGTGTATTTATTTTATATCTGTTGGTGCAGCTCATCTGACAGCCACCAGGGGGAGGTCAGGAGAAGTTCTTTAAACTGGACCTGGTTTCATTTAAGATGCACAAAGTGAAATATTGGTTGTTCTGCATGCCTCAGTCTATATTTAGATTATTTTGTGTAATTTTACTGTTTTTCTCAGATGAACAAGGAGCTGATTGTTTTGCTGTACATATCAGGAGGAATCGGTTTCTGAACTCTTGACGATGGAAACTACTTTTTGATTATTACAGATTCAAAAAATTATTATATATATTATAAATGTTGTCATTACAGATTCAGATTTATTTATTGCCATTCGGACCTCATGATGAGAGCGAAACATTTCCTGGTGCAGCAGAACAAAACAACCTAGTAAGATAAAGTAGGCCAAACAAAGTTACAAATATCAAAAATAAAATAAAGACCCCAACAGGTTGCTGTTCCAAGTTAACAGCGTTCATTATTCAGACATCATCTTACCATACCCAGGTATACATGTTTATACATTATTTAGACAGCTCTCAGCTGATTCCTGTTTGATGCTTGTCTTTTGAATGGTTTGTAGACGTTTAATTTGTTGATAAGGGACCTCGAAATCGAACCAGGAAGAGATTAAAACTTTTGCTCAGTGTTCTCCTTGCAAAAAAACCCCCAAAAAAACTGATTTATATGAATTCTTTGTGCAGTTTGTCTTCATGAGGCAGACAATAAAAGATACAAATAAGTTACTGGTATCAATCAGTGATGGACGGAACCTGGAGAGGACACTTATATTCACCACCAGGTGCAGTGGCGGAGCCAGGGGGTGGCCAATGGTGGCCATGGCCCCCCATAGATCAATTTTGCTCAGTGTCGGGACAATAATCAACCCGTTTTTAACCGACCTGGTCAAGCTGGTGCCGGCTGCTTTCAAGAGGGCAGTAAGTAAAGTGAGGAATAAGCGTCACCCTCTGACTGCAATTACTGAGTGGAAGCAGCTGAGCTGAAACAGGTGGAGCAAGAGAACTGAGCAAACCAAGGGAACTGCCCTAAAACAGGAAAAGGTTTAATAATAAATGTTTTTTTACATTTGGCTTCAGTTGTAGTGGACATCTAGTGTTGATGTTGCAAACTTACCTTGGGGGGGGGGGGGGGGATTTTTCATATAAATGAAACGCATCAAACTTGTTTTTTTTTTTTCTTGATCAGTCAAAGACGTTTATTTCCAAAAGATACACAACAAAAAGTGACGAAGACGTTCTACAATCAACGGGTCAATAAACAGAGTTTTGGACTCAAGAGTTCTTATAATCGGGAACGCCACAGAACCCGAACAGAACAGCCGGACTTTAATTTCTATAATTACTGAACAGAAACGGTCTTTAAAGATAAAGAAAACAAACACAACAAATGGCTCCCGAGTAATTCAGCAGTACACAGGTATGGTATATTTGTTACCTGGAGTTGTATTTGAAAAAATACTGAGGCTTACATTACGATATCATCTAAAAAACCTGGTCAATAATGCTACAACGAAACAAAACATAAAAATAAGATAAATGGATTCCATCTTTATTACTCCAGATCCCAGGAGAACAACGTTCTTAAATACAGTTTTTCCATTTTGGCATCATATAAAAACATTTATTTAATC